GATCCCTTTAGCAGATTCTAAGTTTTATAAGACAAACACCTTATCATTGAACAACAGATACAATAACTCATCATCAAATACTTCATTTGATACGCAGAAATTGAAAAGGGAATGGGACCTTTACTCCGATATTCACTTTTGAAAGTATTCAGTACAATTGTTAAAGCTCATACTCATGAACAAGAACTCTTCTTACACTCTCTCAAAATTCAATGATACATATCAGCTGATTTTCTCACCATTCATCAAACTTGCATCAGCTTTACCACAAACAAAATTCAAATAATCAACAATAAAACCAGTATCATAAAGTTCAAATTTCCCACCAAAACCAATCTAAATATCCAAAAACTCCCACATTCCTCGAATCACATTGTCCAAAAACAAAAAGATCAAGCTTTTACACAGAATTGAGATAAGGAGTCATCCTGAATTACCGTCATTACTCCAAATCAAAACTCAGAATCCCCGAAAACTTGAACTCGAATAGCACAATATACATTTCATAATAAAAAAATTTCAATCTTGAACTTTACAAGAAGAGACTACCTGAGGCTGTTGATCTGAGTTCTGAGAAGGGGAATCAGAAAAAAGCTGTGAAAGTTTTTCCGAAACTGTGTCTTTCAAAGCATGCATAACTTTTCTGGGATTTTTTTTCCTATACCCTTTTCTTTCTAATGCCTGATTTTTTGAATTGCAATACGAGTTAATAGAGAATAGTCCCAAAAAAAAAAAAAAAAGAGGGTTCTCCAGATCAAAGAATGTGTGTTGAGCGGTGTATTGAAAGGTACAAAAGCAGAAGAAAGAAACGCTTTTGAGAGTTGAAGGAAAGGTGGACGAGTGGACAAATAGTTGCATTAAAACGGAGGTCACCGACCCAGAAATCAAGCGGGGATGAGGGAAAAGTTCGGTAAGAATGCACAAATCCTAAGACAAGTAAAGAGTCTTTTGAGTGTTTTGAATTTTGACTGATTCGCTGGTAATTAACTTTTTAGGACAAAAACGACGCTTTTAATGGTTGGATTGCATGGGAAAAGTTGTCTGGTTTTACTTTTACCATCACGAAAGAAAAAAAAAAGTTAAGAAAGATTGGATATATTTCAAATTTGAGATTTTTGTTTAGCTTAAAATTGAAAAAAAGGTCAAAAGGGTTAGTAGGAATTAAATGAGACTGAATTAAGGTAATTTGTGAACCGAAGAACCAATGCACAATTGATTCAAATTTGTAGACATTTGTTTTTGGTCGATAAATTGAAGGGAAAAAAAATTGAGTAAGTTGGGCCGATCTGGCCCAAGATAGGCATATCCTTACACTTGAGTAGGGAAAAATTGGCACCTTAGTTGGGCCGGACGTGAATAAATTAAGCATCATTGTGTGTGTATGTGTGCGCGCGCGTTTTATTTGTACTATGCGTTAGTTTTATTACTTTGTGCATTTCTATAAGGGATAACTTTAGGGACTAGGGGGCTAAATCATTGTCAAAAAAACCCTTTAGGCGGGTTTTTGTTCAATTGCACGAGATATGATCTCATTTGTTTAAAATGTAACTAACTTTTAACGACTTATAAATATAAAATAAAATTTTGTAGGGCTCACATACAATATTAGAATGAATGTACAAAATATGATCTAGCCTTTTTTTTTTTTTTATCAAATCATGACCATTAATCTTTAGGAAGATTGTTACGTGCAATGTCCCGGCATCTGTTGACAATTTCATATAAATACACTTTAAATGTCGATGTTACTTTCCCTTTCATGTGGATGTGACCAAATGTAGCCATCAGGAGCCTTTAAATGATCAAATTGTCCTAAAAAATTTGTGCCTGAATATAGTGAAAATATGAAAAAAAAATTTACTTGAAAATGGATTTTTTTTCCTATTTGGCATAAAAAAATCTGGAGGTATATACGCTTAAGGCACCGAGTAGCATTTGTAATAGCATTTATGAAAAAAAACCAAAGTAGCTTTCACAAGAAAAAAAAAAAAAAGAGAAAAGTCAAGGAACCAAAAGGCTCAACTGTCTGTGATCCTTCATTTGATGAAGGATTTGTGCAAAAAGGTGACAAATAAAGCACAATTTTTTTTAGTTTATTAGACCTTCTAAGTATTGATTATTATTTATCGTGTTAATGTTTGTCACAGATTATGACTTAAACTTCTTAAAAGATCATATGCTATACTTGTAAATGTGTCTCTATACTACTTGATGATGGTCACAGATGGCTTTATTTACAGAATATATTTAGTTAAAAATGGCATGAATATTTTTTTTGCACCTTCATCAGCCTTATACATTGGCACGAAAGATTTGTTGTATTACCAATGGCTCTTCTTGGACTTAATGGTCAAAAGTATAGTTTATTATATGATTTTTTTTTGGCTATCCTATGAGGATCATATTGGATCAGTGGCAATCTTTTTCTTTTTCTTTTTCTTTTTCTTTTTTATTAGCATTTTCCTCACCAAAAAGAGTTAATTGTTTTGTTCTAAAGACAAAAAGGGCAAAATTGGAAGAACATTGTATTTTAGTACTTTTGTTTTACTTTTGAGGTATTATGACAAGGATTGATATTGCTAAAAAACATGTCAATCAAGGGGAGGCCAATCTAATTTTCAATATTAGAGGATATTTGTCTGAAATTGTAAGAAATCTCGAAGGAGGTAATTGAAATTATCCCTTTCTATAAATTAAAAAGTTGTAGATTAACACAAAAATGTTGAATTTTAATGTGTACTAGAAAATTTAATTTGTATCCTTCAAAAAAAAAAAAAAGAATCCAGACCTTCTTTGCTAACCATCACTGAGGAAGATGCGCAGACAGCTGTTTTCCAATAAAAGTTTATCAAGCTGGGAGGTTTACTGCATGTCCAGAAATCAGACTTCTACTGCTCTCTCTTTTTTTTTTTTTTTTTTTTGCCGAGAATGCATGTTTGATTTTAGAGCTTTGTCAATGGAGTGAAACTTCACCATCTTTTGTTATGTCCTCCTCTAAAAGTGGACTCATTTTCAGTTAATAAACAATCTCATTCTCCCATTAAAAAAAAAGAAAAAAACAGATCTAGCTCTGTTTGGATTGCTGAATTTTTCAAATACTATTAAAATTTTTAAAAAGTACTTTAAAAGGTAGTCTAAATTTTTTTAATGTTTAAAAAATATCCCAAAATATATTCTAAGAACTCTTCCACTCTTAAATATTCCAAAATATTTTCTAAAAATATCTCAAAATATACTATAAAAACTCTGCTACAATAAAATTTTTCAAAAACACCCCAAAAAATAGCTAATCCAAACAATTATGTTTGTGTTTTGGATAACACAATTACGTAACCACTTCTTTTATTTGTATTTGAAAAGACTACACGTTATGTTTTACATAATCTTATCCGAAATTGAATCACATTTTGTCCTGTCTATTTGTGAACAAATACTCCAAGTTTAAGTATATTCATGATTCCTTGTCAAAGTAACATCAAAAATATACTTTCCACCAACCAACTGAAAAGCCCGCGCTGGGTTGTTCGGATGGTGGAGGCGGGGTCCTTACTCCAAGTCTGTCTGGGTTCGATTCCAATTTGCAACTCAGTTGTTTACCGTCCTAGGTATCGGTCGGGTCCGCTCTTCCTGGGCGCCGTGGGATTAGTCGGATGGTCCCGGATATCCACAGTGTTGAAAAAAAAAAAAACTAACCAACTGAAAAAGCTATAATAATTAATAAATGAATAAAAGATATAACCTTGTTTGGATTGCATTTTCTTGGATTTTTTGTAGAAAAATTACTGTAGTGATTTGATGTATGTGAGAAAAAAAGGTAATAAGAAAATGTGATCATGGAAGACGATGCAATTTTTCGGAGGAAAATGACTGTCCAAACGGAACATTAGAAAAACAAAAGATTTAGCGGTGCGAGCCAGAACCATCAACCGTAGAAAAATTTGCAAGCCTGGCAGAAACAAGAGTTGGGGATTAAGGCATCCAACCAACCTGTACAAGCGTCACTTTTTTGAAGAAATTCTAATGGCGTGAAGCTTGAGTTTGACAATGACGCATTAGTTTCTAAAAAGTGAAAAACAATGGCATAATTTCTAGTTCTTGATGATGGCAACCTTTCCCTTTTCTGCTACGTTGTCCATTTATTTATTAACGCAGTTAACGTCTGCATTGATGCGTTCAAGTTGAGTTTTTTCCTGTTTAAGTATGAAAATGACTATTTTTATTGAGTATAGCTTTGTCAGAATTGGATCCAGTTTGGATGATGGTAACGTACGTATCATTTGATGCTTGATTTTGGTTTAGAAAATGATTTGTGGCGGAACCAAGGCATTACTTCTTAGATTTGCTTGACCATCACGATGGCTGTGCAAAGCGTGAAAGCGAAACAAAGAATATCCAGTGACGAGTTCTCCTCCAATGTGCTGAATGCTTTAATCTCTTTTGACAGTTGACAAGATGATCTTTAAAGAAGCTCACCTGTTTCTTGCTTCTTGAGTCACATAGATTTCGTTCTGCCTAATCATCAATAAATGTTCACAGGATGAGAACAAATGTCACGATTGTACCCCACTATTCAAATTCAAAGTTCTTGATTGATTAAAAGTGCTAGGAGTATCTACTTGGTCAAACTGATTTGTACACTTCCAAATTCCATCACTGTCCTCTCTCTCTCTCTTTCATCGGCTCCCCCCCCCCCCCTCTGCTAAGTGCTAGCAAGAGAATATTTTCCCCACTTTATGAGCTGGTATATTTTAATCTTTTTTGTTCTCATCCTCCTCAAAAAATATGTAGTACTCACTACCTAGCAAAAGAATTTTTTTTTTTGAAACAAAAGTATCGGTACTGCCATTTCCAGTGAGAACAATAATAATATTTTATCCATTGGGTACTCCTCAATTATCAAATTCACTTTGCACATTGAACACATCTTCCTGGAGTCTTGTCTGAAAAGGAATTTTTTAATTTCATTTATATGAGATTGTTACATTATATTTTTCATAAAAATTTTAAAAAATTACAATTCAAACACGACCTACCTTCTTTCCTCTGCAGTCTGCACATCCAAAGATAGGTTGAGGTGAGGTGAGAACTGTGCCAGCCAAAAAGAAAGCGAATCCCAAACACCACAGCATCAAAACCTACACCCTTTTTTGGTAGAAGAAAAAAAAAATCATTTTTGGGGTAGTTGAATTGAATCCCATTATTCAATACTGGTACCAAGTTTCAATCTTTCCTCACTTTTTAACCAAAACCCATCTCTCAAAACCCTGAAAACTTTCCTCCCAGACACAGTAAAACCATGATTTGATTCATCAAGAAGCTACCCGGAAATGGGGTTGCCCATTAGACCCTTATGCTTGTTCTCCCTTTCTCTGTCTTTTTTACCATTTCTTCAGCTTATCCCATTAGCTAAATCTGCATCTGACTACACCAACTTGGTATATAAGGGCTGTGCTCAGCAGGCTTTATCAGATCCAACGGGGGTTTATTCACAAGCTATTTCGGCTCTTTTTGGAAGTCTTATTGCACAATCCTCAAAGAACAAGTTTTTCAAGGCTAACACTGGTAGTGGCCAAACCAACATAAGTGGTCTTTTTCAATGCAGGGGTGACCTTTCCAATGTTGACTGTTATAACTGTGTTAGCCAGCTCCCTATCCTTATAGACAAGCTCTGCGGTAAGCCTACTGCTGCAAGAATTCAGCTTCAAGGATGCTACATGCTGTATGAGGTTGCAGGGTTCCCTCAAGTCTCAGGAATGGAAATGTTGTTCAAAACTTGTAGTGGAAAAAATATTGGTGGAGCTGGTTTTGAGGAAAGAAGAGATACCGCCTTGAGTTCGTTGGAAAATGGGATAGGAAGCGGAAATGGTTTCTATACCACTAGCTATCAGTCTGTTTATGTGTTGGGGCAGTGTGAGGGCGATTTGAGCGCTTCTGATTGCGGTCAGTGTGTGCAAACTGCTGTTCAAAGAGCTCAGTCTGAATGTGGAAGCTCTATTTCCGGCCAAATCTATCTTGACAAATGCTTTGTTAGCTATAGTTATTATCCCAATGGGGCTCCTAAAAGATCATCATCTTCTTCTTCATTCTCATCTCCTGAAACTGCTTCAACAGGTATTCCTTTTTTTTTTTTTTTGGGAACAGTTATTCCTGCTTTAGTTCCATCTGCTGGTTATGATCTTACTACATGTTTTAGATTTTCTTTTTTGACGCGTTTGTTTAGTTGTTTAAACTTTTTCTGCAGCAAGTGTAGTTTAATTGACTACAGATTTGGCAGCTGTCTCCCTCTTTTAATGAGTCTAGTGGCCAAGAGTGTATCGAATAATGTAATGAGTATGGGATGAGTGATTTGCTTTTAATTTTTAATGGTGATCACTCTTAACAAGATGTTTGTCTGGCCTAGATTTGCGGGCTCAATCTCTAGATTTGTTGCTAATAGTCCAATGTGTGTTCATTAATATTGAATTTGGGTTGCATTTGGTCAATGTAGGGTCAGGGCAAAGTACAGGGAAGACAGTGGCTATAATATTAGGAGGGGCAGCAGGAGTGGGGTTTCTGGTTATTTGCCTGCTGTTTACTAAAAACTTAATGAAGAAACATGATGGTAAGTATGATTATTTATGGTGGTGGATTCCTGTGTACCATCATTTGCTTTTATAAATCTTTCTTTCTTAATTTATTCTATCATATTTATGGGTGTGCTGTTGTTCTGCAGATTCTTGAAGGAGCCCTTGTTTTTGTAAACTAAAGTTTTTTGAGGTGAATGGTTCCTCTGAGTTTGTTATTTTTCTAGAGATTGTGGAAGGGAGGAGAGGGGAAAGAAGTTAGTTGCGGGAAAACTTCTCACTGTTAGGCAGAAACAAATTTTGGGGCATGAAACTGAGGACGGGATGCTTGCATCTAAAAGGAGGATGTAAGATGTATGCTTGTCGAGTCTGAAAAAGATGAGGAAGAGTACTAATGGATCTTGGCCTTTTTCTCATACTGCCATGTGCATATTTTCTCTTTTCTTCCTTGTCTTGAATAATGCTCCTCCATTTTCCTCGAAACTTTTTTGCTTTTTATAAAGCTCCCTCCCTCTCTCTCTCTCTCTCTCTCTCTTTCTCCCCCTGTCTGTGTGTGTGTGGTGGTGTCTGGAAGTGTAACATACTTAGGTTATCATTTAACACCTTGTCAAAGGGTGTTTGTTCAGTACTCCTATGTATATATGTCTGCTTCCTCATTTGATTCCGCTGAAAAAGGGAAAAGGAGGAAAAAAGGAAACAGGGTAGTTTAAGTATTGCAAGTCAAAGAAAGAAAACTACAATGATGGAATGTATCCTCACATTTTAATCCTGTATGAGCTGAGATGGGAGTCTTCTAAATGGTAAAGTGTTGTCTCTAGTTATTTCTGATAAATATCTGGCCATCAGCTAAAAAAGAACTGATGACTAAGAAGTTACATCTATACTTTTTCGATCAGCCCTTGACTACATGTTTGAAGTTTTCCTCAGTTTTAATTGCTCAAACATTATAATCAGGTGCTTAGCAGTATCTGTTATCTTAAGTCTGATATTCTAGTACCCTGATGTCTATTTCAGCTCATTGCCTGTTTGATGCATTATTAGTTTAGTTGCACTGAATCAACTGGTCTGTTCAATTCCCACCATTGAACTTAAGATCAACCATGGAAGGTTCCATCATATAGAAAACTTCTCTAGTAGATGCCCGGAAGTAAAACTAGACTGGTTGCAGTGATTCTATGGATGCTATTGTTGCCTAGTTGCACTTGGTGAAGTTTAAACTGTGGATCTAGTTTTCTTGCTTTCAGTTTTATCCAATGTCCTCAAGAACCCTCTTTTGCTTTTTGATGAGGACATCAGAGGAGTCTGTCTTCCTTGAAGTATTATTTTCGACTGTAATAGTCAGGAGACACTTTCTTTGCCCTGACTAAGTTTTTATTTATGCAACTCCTAGTTTACCCAAAAAAAAAAAAAAAAAACAAAAGAAGAAAACTTCTGGCTTCTTTAACGTCTTCAAGGTGTTCCTTGGGACGTTTGCCATATCAAGCTTAAAGCCTCATGAAAATTAGTTATCGCGACAGGTAATTTGAGAGCTTCCTATGTTGAGAACTTCATGATCAAGTCATCGTTTAACTCTGCAAGAATTGCATGAAAACTACTGAGTCGAGGAGAGAATGGGAGCTCTATTGCAGATTGAGCATCTCAAGGGATCGAACTTTGACAGTTGAAACTGTTACACTAGCGGTCATACTTGTGCATAAAATTAAATGTTTTTGCCTCGGTAGATTGAACATCCATTTGTTTTTGCTTCAGGACTGGAGAATCTTGTTGAATATTTGATTAGTAGTTCACGTGCAAACGTAATTGTAATATCTTAAAATATATTATTTTTTAGATGCTAAAATTTTTTTATGAAATTTTGTTCATCAACATCATAATATAGTATTCTTATGTTATTTATTTTCTTTAGCTAGTTGCTTTTAAAATTTTATTAAATGAAAAGAGATAGAAAACGTTTCAATGCAGTTAACATGTTTCTTATGATTGAATTCGGAATCATGAATCAATTACTTTTTGATTTATAACTTGAGCTCTAACGTATCAAATATTGATAATGTGATGCTCCACTTCTCTCAAGGCGAACGCGGGACGCCCTTGGGAGAAGTGGGGTGTCAGATAAAATCATGTTTTACCAAAATTATTATATATTCATAATTCTATAACATATAAGCCACAATCATTAAATTTTTTTATAAATGAAGAATATAATTAAGCTAGAAAAATAAATATACATGTAATTTGATTTCTTTGTATTATGTTAATTCTATTTTTGTCAATAATGGAGTATAAATGAACCACTATGTAAAAATTTTGTCTTGTATATTCTGACAATTGAAATTTCATAGATAGAAATAGTTGGGCTTTTTCTATTATCCTTTTCTTTTATTCATATTTTTAGCACAATCGAATGCAAGGCAAAAGCAACAAGCCTACTTTTTTCACATGAGCACAATATTTTTTATTTCAGTATTAGTTTTTTATATGATCATGGAATTGGAATGAAATTTACTTAATTTTAAAGCTTTTCATTTCATAACTATTACGATTATTTACCAATATTGCAATACAATAAATATATGTAATCATTAGAAAAATAAGGGTATTTTAGGCATCACTGAAAACAATTTGGATATCATTTTTATTTTATCATTCTTCATTTTAAGTATTATAAGTCTTATTTTATCATTGGAGATAGCTTTTGACTTGATGGATAGACTTGGTTTGCTCAAACTAATACAATGAAGCATTACTATATTATTGTCAATAATAATGTTTGTCTTAGTGATTTAGTTGTTATCTTTGGTATTATTTGAATTGTATTCTAATTTTTCAATTCATTTGCTATTTACTTTATGCCATTTTATGAACAGTTTTCAATTTCTTTTCATTTTTCTTGTTTTGAGAAGTTGCTATTAATGATAATAATGATTTGTACGGTGCTATTTTAGATTTTCCTTTTTCTAGTTTAATAATGATATTTCACTTATAAAGGTGTCATAATTTTTTGTATATTGAAATTCCATTAGTGCAACATGAAAAATTCTTCATATTTGTAAAAAGTGCATCATTATAAAATTTGCTCATAATATTTGTATGAAAATATATAGATGAACAAGGGTTCTCTTCCCCCTTTATGTTTCGTTATTTTCTAGAAAGTATCGATTTTTTGACATTGATTTTCTTTTTACAATCTCAATTAATGACTAATGAGAAAATTTTCATACTTAAATTAAGAAATTTTGATACATATAATAATTGGAGATGGAGTCCAAAGGTCGGTAAATAATTTTTAATGAGCAAATTTTAATTATAATTATCATTAATACTATTGAGATGTAATCAATTGGAGTGTTTTATTTCTTTTAATTAGTGCCAAATTAAAATGCATTAATATTCATTAAAAGACATAAGGGTAATTTAAAAATAACAAAAACTAAGATAAAAAATTGCTTACACTCCCTAATGTAAAGATTCATACTTTTTATATAATAATGAATAATGATAATGATAATGATAAGGCACTAATTCACAGGAAACTAAAGTGCCCTCATCTAAAGAATCTTGCAAGGGAGATCCTAAGCAAGTTCTTTTCAGCATCTACCAATAATGCTCAAAGCGGCCTTCCATAATTTTCCATTGCATCTAAACACCAGGCGAGATGCAACTATTTCTTGATCGATGAGAGCCCTTCACATGGCTCGCCATCTATAGATTAATACCATTTGCTAAATCCAAAAAAGCTTCTCACACATCCAGTGAGGAAGGTATCACAGCAAATCCCACCCCAAATTGTTCAATGACCAAACGTCCAAATGCACCAACCTTCAAATCTTGCCTGACTCAATGACCACAATCTCCAAGCAGAAGTGGTCGGTTCTGGAATTAGAGGCTTTATAACTAGTGTCTCCTCTTCATAACGGAAGGATGTCAAATTGTGTATAATCAATGAAAACCACATCTGAAATTGAAGTGTTTGATCTTTTTCAATCCAAAACGTTTTGGAGGCCAATTGTATGATTGTATCATTAGAGTAACGAGTTACTAACATTAATCCTTAGATGGGATCATTTAATCGATTCTCAATGGTTCCCAATGTTCACTTGCTTAAGAGAGATGCCTTAGCAAAATAAGGTGAATTAGTTTGACACAAATTGTGTATATTCATTCATTCTTAGGATGAATTAGTCCAAGTGCACGTTGAGTTAAAATAATTCCACTCAAGATTGAGATGCATGCATGTTCTTGAAATGGATTCAGAGATTAGAATAGGGAACTGGTTCAAGGTGCATGTGATCTTGACCACAGAATATTCGATCCAAAAGCGTTCCATCTCATGATATTCAAACAAGATAAAACCTAAGAGCTTACATAGAAAAGAAAAATTTAAGACCAAGTTTTAACCAAAAAATTAAGACATTAGCAAATTCTTAGATGCCCGAAAGTTTGCTTTTGATAATGCCGAAAAGCCAAAATTGAAGGTCTAATGAGAGAGATGCTTAGTGACTTTTTCGTTATTATGTTGAGTAAATCTTATATACACTGATAATATATGCACTATTATGGTTGGATACACATATACAAAATTTGGGTTTTAAATTCAAATTCGAATTATATGTTATGTATCTAATAGTGAAAGTGTATACACTGTCAGTGCATAGAAAATTAATTCTATTATGTTAGTGTGTTTTGATAGAAATTATTTGTTGAAGAATTATTTGCTTATATCATAAATAGATTTTTTAATACATTTTTTTTATTTTACATACATCACATCGTAAAATAAATGTTATCATAATTATTCTAAATAATATATTAAATAATCTCTTAGCCAAACACACACATTATTGTTCAACCTAAGGAGTGCATAAATGTGCCTTAGGTTATTCCAACACGGTCAGAGAACATGTCCTCGCCGTACACGGACCCCCGCATCGTACATGCAAAAGCCATCAAAACTCACCACCGAACTTTGCTTATCAGCCTTATCACCCTTTACTCTAGAGCCAATCTCCACGCTAACTCCCTCAGCATCTTCAATTCCATCCGCGACCGGAATGTTGTGTCATGGACAGCTCTTATCTCTGCTTTTTCCAACACCCCATTTGCCTTCCACCATTTTATTTCCATGCTCCGGCAGTCCACCCTCCCAAACAGCCGTACTTTTTCTACTTTGTTCAGTACTTGCGCTTCACTTTCCTCCCTATCTGTTGCCCTCCAACTCCATTCCCTTGCCCTTAAGCTCTCCTGTGATTCCCACCCCTTTACGGCTTCGTCTTTGGTTTCCTTGTACTGTAAAAGCCGGTTTCTTGACGGTGCGCGTAAGGTGTTTGATAGGATGCGTGAGAGGGACGCTGTTTGTTATGCTTCGATTATTAATGGGTTGGCACAGAATCGAAAGCCTGTTCAGGCTTTGTGTTATTTTGGGGAGATGAGGAGGTCTGGGGTGGAGTCGAGAATACAGAGCGTTTCAGGGGCTTTGAAGGCTGTTTCTGAGCTTGCTGTGCTTGAGCAGTGTAGGATAATTCATGGGCATGCTGTGGTGACTGGTTTGAATTCGGATATTGTTGTGGGAACGGCGATGATTGACGCCTATGGGAAATGCGGGCTTGTCGTGGACGCTCGTGGAGTATTTGATGAGTTAGATGTGGCGTTGAGCATTTTTGGATGGAATGCGTTGATGGCAGGGTATGCACAACAGGGAGATAAGGACCATGTGTTACAGCTTTTTCAGTTGATGGAAGCCAGAGGGTTCAAACCGGATGATTATACTTTTTTGGCAGTTTTGACTGCACTGTATAATTCTGGGTTAGCTGAGGAGAGTC